ACACACGCACACACACATACACACACACACACACACACACACACACACACACACATACACACATACACACACACGCAAACACACACACACACACGCACACATGCACACACTCTCTTGCTTGCTAACCTGGTCAAACCAACACCAGGTGGCGTTGACCATCCAGTGGGACACCCAGAACGACAGCCCCAACCAGTCCACCTTCACGCGCGTCCCATACACCCAGCTTACCCGCCGCGCATACGTCACCACGCCCGCGGCGGTGCGGGGCCGGTTCCTCCCGGCGTGGCGCTGCCTGCTGGTGTCACTGCGCAAGGTGGGCGCTGCTGACTGCGAGCGGCTGGGGCGACGCGGGGCGGGGTGGGGTGGGGTGGGTTTTTTTCCTGGTTTGTTTGGGCGTGGGACATATCTTCTACTTGGCCGATTGGTTGTTGCAGCGCCTTCCCATGCACCTCAGCAATCACTCTGCCCTGACTCCCCCCACCAAGCGCACACACACACGCGCGCACACACGCGTGCGCTACCAAAGAGAGATTATCCAGAGTGGCTTGGACGCAACAGAAAACGGCCCGCTCTCATGACCTCATGACACCATTGTCCTCACACACACCCTGACACTCTTTCTGCAACCTCACCTCCAACCACACCAATGCCAGGCGACGTGCTTCGGCATGGGCGCGGATGCGCGCGCACTGGCGGGGGCGTTTGTGCGGCTGCACGCCTACTTCCAGACGCACGACTGGGACCTGACATGGGCGGACCCCCAGGTGGGTGACATCACGCTTTGACCTTGTCAAACCCCTTCCATTTCGCACTGCTTTGGCGACTGCACGCCTCGCAGAGTGCCACAGCTGGTCGATCGGGGTCTTGGCAGGAATGAGGACACGCCGTCATCTGCACTGCGGTTGGCCCTGGACTAGGCAAGCTCCCCGTCAACACGGCTGCTCACCTGCGCTGTCCGCACCCATCGCATCTGACCGCTGCCGCCTGCCCCCAACCCCACGCGCCGCCCCGCTCGACAGGTCAGCGCCGTCTTCACAGAGGAGTTCGCGGCAGCCGCCGCCGCCACGCTGCCCGCCGCAGCCGCCGCCGCCGCCCCGCTCTCCTCTCAAGCCTCCCCCCAGCCGCCCTCTAGCGCCCCGGGCCCCGCCGGCAACAACACTGTCGGCGGGCCCGCGGCGGCAGCAGCGGCGGCGGCGGATGATGCAGGTCTTGCGTTTGACTGCGCGGTCAACCCTGGGGCGGTTGCACCGCCGCCCCTGGAGGACCTCACAGCCCTTTTTGACCTCTTCATGCACTACCTGAAATTTCTGTGCGTCGGCCTGCCCGCGGGCGCGCCGGTGGTGCAGGCGTCGCACCATGGGCCGCAGGTAGGCTGGTGAACGGCTCGGGCACAATTGTTGTACTCCTGATCCCGCGTTACCTTGCACCAGACAACAACCAGCCAAATGACCAAACGATTATTCGGCTGACTATGAAAACGACGCTTGCTCACTCACAGGCGCTGACTGGGCTGGTGTCTCAGCTGGTGTCGGGCCAGAGCCTGCAGGTCTGGGAGCACGGGGTACTGCTGCGGGAGAGGCTTATATACCGTGAGTCAGGGTGACGAGAGGGCGTATGGGTATGTGTGTACATGTGTGTGTGTGTGGTGCATCGGGGATGCGGGTGGGGCTTGCTCACTTCATGCTCTTCTTGCAGGTGGAGGGAGGTGCCATTCTTTGATCCGAGGGCAGCAGTGCGTGGACCACAGTCTTGGGTGGAATGAAACAATAAGGTTTCTGCTTTGATCAGTTTTCCATTTCCCATGCACCCTACCATTGCGACCCACCGCCTGCCCCCTCCACTGCGCCCCCCCCCCCTCGCCCTGGGGCCCCCCCGCAGTGGACTGCTTCAAGCGCGACCTGCTGCCCACCTTTGTGAACGAGCAGGTGCTGCGCTTCCACCGCGCAGTGGGGCAGGTGAGGAGGCTCCCCTCTGTTTTTTTGCGGGTGGGGGGGTGTGGTGGTGGGAGAGTATGTCAGAAGAGGGGGGCGCTTGTTGTTCTGGGGCTGCTGGCGACTCAATAAACGTCCCCAGCGCTGGTCAGGGCGGCGGATTGCAGCCAGAGCTGTCGTGTGCATTAGATATGCACGGTACATCCGACTGATTCAACATCACACCAATCGCGGCGCAACCCCGCAAGCGCCTCCTAACACCCGAGTGTATACCTATTTCTTCCAATTTGAACGCCCCAATCCATGCCCACGCCCTCACCTCAGACCCTGCTGTCCATGGCGGACATGGTGGTGCCCTGCAACGCGTCGTTCAACACCGCCTGGGAGCTCTGGCTGGGCGCGCGCGAGGCGCGGCTCATGCCGCTGCTCAACGCACTGGAGATCGACCACTACCCCTGCCTGCAGGTGGGGGCCGCGGCAAGACATGTCTTTGCCGGCTTGGTTGAATCAGGAGTACTTAGTGCCCCAAAAGCCAGGCAGGTCGTGTTTGCGGTCACTGATTACACTACCCTAAGCCACGACCCGCCATATGAGTAATCGGCGCAACGATAATCGCTCCCCAGGATGACGAGGCCCCGGTGCCCACCGCGTCGATGCTGAGTCACGTGTACGCGCTGAAGGACATCATGACGGCCATCAGGGCGGCCGCCGTCATCGTCCACGACTACGGGGTGGCCAATTACGTGAGCAAGAACATCACGCCGCAGCAGCCGCCCCAGTGACACACCACCGCGACGCCACTGGCGCCCTTCGCTCTCTGGCGCTGCTGCGAGCTGCCGTGTTCGTCACGGCGCCCCCGCGAACCCGGGCGGCCCTCTTGCTCAAACAGCACATGCCCCTTGACGCCCCCGCCACCCCTGCCCTGCCGCACGTTCGTAAAAAACACTCCTCTGCCGCAGCGGCTGGAGGTGTTCGGGTCCTTGGAGTTTGATGCGGAGGTGCGCGCCAGCTCATCACGCCTGTTTGATCACTTATCTATTGACAATCTGCGGGTCAACAACATGCAATGCAGCCTGCCCAACGCGCTCTCTGGCGATGTAGGGGACTCAGGCACGCGCCTGGCCGTAGCGCCCGCAGGCGCAACGCACCGCCCTCCCCTGTGTTGCGGCAACCGCCCAGCCCCATACCTCCCCCAGACTCCCTCGCCGCAAGACCCTCGGAGCCTCAACCAAAAATCAAACGTTAACCCCTGAATCGACCACCCCGCCATGTGTCTTGCAGTACGTGACGGGCTGCAGGCGTCTGATCAAGCAGCTGGGGCTGCAGGACAACGTCACACTGCACGGCCTCGGCAACCCCCAGAAGGTGCGGCCGGCGGCGCAGGGGCCGCGCGGCGGGCCGGCTGCCGCCAGGCGTCTCTCGTGAAGCGCTTGGTGCCCTGGCGCACAAAGACGTCGATCGCTGGGCGGGCGCCGGCTTGGAGCCGGCGCTGCGGGCCTTGCGGGGGCCGCCATGGTTGCAATGATCATGCAAGTTCGTTGCAACTTAACAAGTGGTTGTTTGTCCAAGTGGATGCGGCTCGGTACTCTGATCGCGACTACTTCATCTCTCTCCCTCACACATACACAAACACACACACATACATACACACACACATATACGTATACACACACACACTCACACACACATACACATATACACACACACACACACACACACACGCAGGTTCTGGCCAAGACCTGGGTCTACATCCAGACCTCAATCAGCGAGGGACTGCCAGTGTCGGTCATAGAGGCCGGCCTCACCGGCAAGTGCGTCGTCTGCACAAACGTCGGAGGCTGCGCCGAGCTGCTGGCAAACCCGCAGGCTGGTGAGCACGCACCCTCCCCCTCCGCCATCCCCCCCTTGGCCCGCGCCCCGCCCTGCGAACCTCCTGCCGCCATGCGCCTGGGCGCTCAGAGCAGCCTGACCCAGGACGGGCTTCTGTCCGCTCCGCCAATCAGAGGGCTCCGTTCCAACGACACGCAACTCATCCCTCAGGAGCAATCCCATCCATGGCCCACGCCGCACCACGCCCCGTCCCCAGAGCACGCAACCCCTTTCCCGCCCCCTCCCCCAACCCTCGCCACCCATCATGTTTCATGCCCCCCCCCTGCAACAACCTGCGCCCCTGCCGTCCCCCAGGGCTCGACGGCAGCGGGCAGGGGCTGGCGG